CCACTAGTTAGAGGCTCCAGTTGCTATTGTCTACAACTCCAACAATGAGCTACCTATCATCCGAGGTAGTTGAGGTATGTGATTGATGCCGCTGTTTCAGTGAGAGTAGGTGTTCTATCAGATGGTCTCTCTGTCTAATCTGTAAGATGTTAAGTTTATGGCATTCCCGGTAATCAACCTTGAGATGTCTACCTACCTATGCTAAGAAACCTACCTTAGTAGGTAGCTTCAGCTGGACCCCTAAACCTTTTGGTTACCTCAGTCATGTTCAGGGACACAGACCAATCTTCATTTTCGCTTTGATTGTATGTATCTGGAGGCCTTCTGGACTCCCAACACTGCGCTAGTTGCTCACGTACCTAGGTACCTACTAAGACATTCATCCTGACAATCTCCCGAGACCATCGCCACAGAGCCACGCAAGCACTGCCACATCTCTGACTACCAGCTTCACATGTGAGGCTCGACTGGTTAGTGTAAATCTCAGAGTAAGTCTGAGAACCAAGTTGAGTTCGAGTGAAATGTTTGTGAGTATTACCTAGATCGGCGATATTGACTTGTGGCAGATATCTAGGCATAGCGGTATTTTAAGTCTGTGGTAGCAGAATGACATGCTTGAATCTTTTGCGCATGTGATCAACGGGCAATAATCGATATGCAGTACAGAGTACAGCAGGGTTGGCTTACATGCTCACAAGCGTTGATGCAAATCTGACAACCTGCTATGCAAGCACCCTAAGTTCTTCAGCTTGATTAACCAAGTATTATACAAAAACAGGTATGTCTAAATATGAGTATCAGGGAAGAAAAGGGAACTCTTGTCTCCGTCAAAAAGGCACGCGACATGATACCACCGTGTAAAAACTAAGACAATGCTTGGCCACCTTGCTATCTACCAAGTTATTTCATACGTCTTTCTATCCTATCAACTCCCCTGGGCTGCCTTCTCAGCCGCAAGCTTAGCCTCCATCTTCCTCCGCGCTGCGAGAATCATCTCATCCCTCCTCCTCTGCAGCGAAGCTTGCCTCTCGTCTCTGTTTGAGCTCCATCCCTTGCCCTTGGCATCCTGCTCCTCCTGCGACGCAGTATCCAGCTTGTTCTTGAGGTTATACCGGGTAATAAGATCCGGCTGCGCTGGCTTATCCGGCTGTCGAGACGCCGTCGCTGCGCTGCTGCTCGGTGCGGACTGGCCCGGAGGAGGCGGCGGTTGGAAAGTCACAGGGGGCTAGTCCCATTACTTGTCAGCGAGAGGCCTGAAAGGGCGATAGCACAGGTTTAGCATACCGTGTCCAGTCGTCCTGCTAGTATTCGCTCTGTCGTGCTCTGGATGTTTCCTCCGTTGCGCTGCAGATCCCATAGAATACTCCGTCGGTCCGCCTGCGGAAACATTTGCTGTATTCTCTCGACTGCAATCTCTCTTGACCGGAGGAAAGCTTCAGGGGATCGTGTGGGCTGAGGTGGCGACGGTCCTCCAAAGAACAGATATCGTATTATCAAGCCCGAGACGACCAGGATGGCCAGTAGATATGGCAATGAGATTTGGTCGTCCGCCATGATGTATGAGTCGCAAGGAAGAGGCGGACGTTTGGAGGAATAGGTGGCCGTCCAATCCAAGAAAAATGCCGAGATGACGATAAGTATGTACAGTTGTAGTCCCACGAGGCTCGAGCTAGGTAGAGTCTAGAGAGAGCTTGGGTCGTGGGTCGGCGGCATGAAATAAGCGTTGCTCTTACGGCAGAGCCCACCTCGAAAGACGGGGCGCTACGTCAAATTGCATGTGGGGAATCCTCGGCTAATCATGTTAATGACCGAGCTTGATATGATTGCTATCAGAACCGAATGAGATGCTGCCTTGGGGCACTTTCAAATGTTGCTTCCTGATGATTGATGGTTGTTTAGAATAATTGAAGCCAAGCCATAGCCTGTCGCCCAATGCGGCCGAAGTGAATTCTCATACATGTCACAACATTCAAGGCAAACAGTTATTGCGCAGAACTGAAAAGCATCATTTATTGACACGACAGTCCGATATCCAGGCGATAAGCCAGCCCTCAGTGATGGAAGAGCGTTCATTCATAACCCAGGTCCGATCCCATCCCCGCGAGAAACAGTTGCCCTGTCTTGATGCCGTAACGCCCCTTTATACGTTTCTCACGTATCAGTCACCCATGCACACCTGTTCCAAAGGAAATTCTCTCCAATCGTGGTGCTCAGTACTCCTCCTATCAAGGCACAACCTGCGCCTGACCCAGTGTTGTATCTAGATCGCCATAGTGTAGAGTGAGTTCTTTCTGTGCACTTGTTAGATGATATCGTCTAGAACCCTCCGAGATGCACATACACGCTCTTTGCGCCAGGAGTTTGTGTCCCAGACAACGTAATAGCCTCGCTCATGGTTAGGACTCAGTATTTGAGGAGTCATGTGCTCATCCTTGGTCAACCAGATCTGGTGTTTCTTGTGCCACCTCCAGTTTCGAGAATGTCTATCGACGAGTTAGTGGCTGTCAATGTAGTGCACAAATAAGTTATCGCCTACAGCTCAACAGCAGCCATTTGTTGCTTTACATCTGCTGTACAGCTGTAAAAGATCCAAAATAGAGTCTCTTCGTTGAAACTCTGAATTTTACTCTCGATAGGTTGCACATTTGTCACGTTATAACAATCCGGCAATCGAAATCTTCCATTGGAAAGGACTGGCCGGGGAGGTGCGTCATCAAACAGCGAGTAGATCTGGGTCGAGAACAACCTGAGAAGCATGTTAGCAAGCCCTCATGGCCAGTTCTGAGAAGACAAACTCTTGAGAATTGATGTCAAGTCCTAGCGAGTTCGGGTCCATTCCCACAACCATTGCGTGGTAGTCGGGATAGTTGTTCATCAACGTTGTCAAGCCCTTGAGACCCCACTTGTCGGATGCTGGCATACCCTCTAGAGGGTCAATGACATCCGCTGTGTCGAGTCTCTTTTTCATGGTTTGTGCCACATAATTCGTGGCGCTATAGTCCGTGTTGGTGTAATCTGCTGCATTAGAAGCATCGTCTGGCACCGAATCCTCCTTGGAGGACTTTTGCCGGGGCTCTTCCAGGCCAGGAGGTTTGCCGTCTTGCGGTCTTGAAGAGCCTGGGAAAGTAAGCATTTGGAATCGCAGGCAAGAATGACAAAAACCGACCGGGGGCTCCAATGCCAGGCGGCGACCTGGCTTCATTCGTGCGGCTAGTAGCCGACAATGCGTTCAGAAGACCATTCCCCCTGATGCTTGCCGATGGTCCAGCGCCGGCCGCCTGAGAGCTGAAGCCTAAAGATGACATCAAGCTCGCCGTTCGGTCTGATCCCATCTCGCCATTCGAGGTCTGATTGAGTGGCGGAAAGTCGTCAACGCTGCTTGATTGAGTTTGTTGCCCAATGTTGCCTTGGTTACCGAATCTGAACCCGCCTTGCCCTCTGGAAGAGGTGGGACTGAACATATCATCCTGGCCACCTTGCTGAGGGGTACCTTGGTTGCGCGGACTGGGACCACCCAGGTTTCGCGATCCCGCTGTCGACCACATAGACGACTGGTTGGGGTTCGACATCTGGGCGTTGTTCGATAATGATGGGAATTCGCTAGTCTGCATTAGCAAGCGCGTCATTGTGACTAACTTTGATTCGAATAATTCAAAGCCGGACAGGTATTGAAGCTCCGATGATGTGTGCCGCAGCCATATACGTACGATAGGTCGAGTGATGTTGCAGGTTGAGAGCCCGACAAGCTCTGTGCGAAGCTCACGTTTCCGCCAAGTTGACGAGCAGCGTTTTGGGGACCTGCTCCCGCCATGGGAACCCCTCCAAACGCCCAGCCAGAGTTGTTGTTCCCTATATTTGTCCCCCGGTATTAGCCTAAGCCTAAGGCCGTCTTCGATGCAACCCAGCCAAAACAAGAGCGCAGAGATCGCATTCGGTTCTGAAGCGCATACCTAGTTTTCCGTTCGGTAATCGATTCGTTCCTGCTCGTCCTGGTTGTTGGGGTTGCTGTTGACCTCCAAAGCCACCAGGCATCCCGCGGAGTGTCTGTGGCACTGCCCCTAACATTCGATGACATCGTCAGCTATATCCTGCCAATGCTCGCTTGCTTGCTTGTTGCTTGACCATCCAGCCTCAGCTCATGGCAATCTCTCCGACATGCCCCCAGCCTGATCCTGATCCGCGTTTAGATCCATTGAAGCGATCGTGGCGACATCCGAACAAGGTCAATGAGGGTCGCGGAGGGGTTGAAAGCCGTCAAGGGAGTTTCGCAAGGCTCGTGAGCGTGAGTGCTGGCGCACAACTCTCTCTCGTGTGATGACATGCCGAAAAAATACGAAAGATGACGAAGAAGGTTTTGCAGATTTCGCTGGCAGCGCGGGGTCTGGGCTGCGAAGGAATAACGTCGTGGGGGTGCGTCCTACCTGGCCTATTCATGATTGACTATAGAGGTTTGTCGCGATCAACAAAGTGGAGGTGCTGCTGGAATACAATGTTGTTAATTCGAAGTGTCGTAGCAAGAGGGTTCGTTCGGTGCGACGTCGATGCGTTTTTGTGCGGAGGTTGACAAAATGGTAGGGATGTTGTTTGTAGATGCGATCGTTTGCTTTCAGAGCTGGCCTTATTCGCCTGGGGCTTTAGGTTTGCTACTGGTTGGAGAAGGGCTCACTCACTGAGAGAGAAGGCTGGACATTGGAATGAGGTGGAATGGACGATGATCCGGGCGGGAATAAGTGGGGACGCTTCAACATCATGGCAAACATCGTCTACAAACAACGCCGACAAACAACACCGGCCTATAAACAGCAACCGCTTAGACACTGTGGTGTATCGAATGATAACAGTAATATAAGCGACAAGATACGCAGCTCAATTACCATTCATCGACCAGAACTCAACTACTTCAGTCTGCCTCCACCAATCAGCAAGCACTAGTGAAAGACCTCAGACATCATGGAGTTATCATCCACCTCTATTCTATGCTTTACTCTACGTAATAACGACTATCTCAGGGCTCTTTTGAAACTGTCTTCAAATCCAACGCCTGCTACGTTTCTCCCAATCAGAATAATCTTCCCCTCCTTGGGCGTCTCATCTCCCAACGGTCCGTCATTTATCTCAAAGACCTCCCTCACCCCCTGCAACATCTTGACCTCTCCATTGGCAAACACAAGCCGTCCCTTGGAGCGATGGATCTCGAAATCTCCCTCCTTTTCATCTTCAGGCAATCTACTGTCCCACAGTACCGATCGTAGCCAACGGTCAACTGTGTCCAGTTGTCCTGGCTCAAGGCGCCCAACGGGTATGGTGACGGTCGATATGGTCTGAGCGGTTAGCTACATAAGCTCTTACAAACATCATATATCAGGCGGGAACTTACAGGGTCGAGGTGACTATGTCCCTTGGCATTTGCGTCTGACTCATTGAACTGGTCATATGCGTGCAAATCAAGCAGGAACCCTTCCAGTTGAGGGACTACACTCCTCTCCGTTACATGGATCCTAGCAAGCCCATTGATCGACTGGATCCTCTCCTTGACCTGATTGAGTTCCATCTCTGTCACCATGTCGGCCTTATTGATTACGATCACATCGGCATGGGAGATCTGAACGTGTGCTGTAGTCATGACAGGGCCATGTCCGTGGTCGTCGTGTCCTTCGACAACACCATTGGGGTCGTCAAGACTGCGTATGATATTCTTCGCATCTACGAGCGTGACTATCCCATCCAGGTAAATGGTGCTTCCGAGTCCGTCGTCTACCCAGAAGAGGGGGGCAAGGTTACCGGGATCGGCTAAGCCAGTTGTTTCGAGGAGGATGTAGTCAAACGCACCCTTCTTTGACATGAGAGACTCTATCGCATTGACTCCTGTATCTCTGAAATCAGTTAGCACTTTAGTGGGTAGCTGTCGTACATTCATAACGTACTTTACGGAACAGCAGATACAGCCATTGCCAACTTCTAACCATTCTTCAACCTGCTCACCACCCTTGTTCACAGTAAGGGACTTTTCAATGTCGAGCGCTGCAGGACGACTTAGAAACGCAACGACGACAATCTCGCATCTGAGCACTTACAGTCTCCAAATTCTATATCATGTCAGTGACTGTTTTCAACAAGTCGTGGTCCGTCCTAACCATTCATGATGACAGCGACCTTCTTGCCATGTTGCGCCGTAAGGATATAATTTAGCAAAGTGGTTTTACCAGCACCGAGATATCCTATCAGCTATTAGAGAATGAGATAAATAGTGGCTAGTGGCAATACCTGTCACAATTGTGATGGGAACCTTGACTGTAATCTCCTCATCTACATCGTTGGCGGTTGTATCAACCAGGTCTGGCGGGGCATCGTCATCAAAATCCATGGCTGTTGTAGTTAACGTTGGGCCGTTTAGTTTAGTTCAGGCTTTTCTCTAAGTTCAAGAACGCTCGGGAAGCAATTCTAACGGCCGACAGAGATTAAATTCTTTTCGCCGTGAGTTCAGACTTTTCTTGATCAAAAAGTCGCACTCACAAAATATCTTGAAATCATGCATTCAGAAGCTCCATGGTATAAGTTGTACGGCCCCCCTTAGCTGCATGCGACGGGCATTTCTCTGTTATGCATATACCGGATTCCCACCCTAGACCCCCTGCTGAGCTTAGGTAGCCGTGCCCAGTCTTCTGGGGCCTTGGGGGTAATAAACCTGGTGACGCTAGAGCAGGGTGCCAAATTTAACTGGTCTAGAGATGTACTAAAATGCACTAAGATCACCTGAGTCTTTTCGTCACTTGGGATAATGGTCCTGGGTTTTCTTGCCTTCCCTTGCCATGCCAGCCACTTGTCAACCCAGCGCAGCCTTGTCTGATAACTATTAACCGCCCAGTTCTCCCCAGATCCTTTGCGCCCAACATCGCGAGTTTTTATTAGCAACAACTTCATAATTTTGCCAGTCATGTCTTTAGCACCGAGCTCCCCTAGGCTTCCAAGCCCTCCGCCAGCTGCAGAGATCCAAATGGCGCCCATGTCTCCATCTGGCGGTCCTGCAGCCAGTCTTCATACGACACCCCAGGAGCAATCGCAGCTTGAAGCCAGCTCTAGACGGCGTATACACCCAGGAACAAAAGCAGCAGATATGGCTGCGGGACCTCCTTTGATACCGCTACAAGAGGTACCTTATATGCGCCGTCATCATAATATGCCGGAAGCTTGAAGCTAACATGATCCAGCTCGACTCTGCATTTCAACTCCAAGAACACCTAGCCGCCCTCCACTGCTACCATACGTCCTCCAACACCCAGCCCATCACTCGTGGCACCGCGCTACAGCTCGCGACACCTCCCAATGGCGTCGACCGGACCATCTGGCTCTACGAGCTCTGCCGTTTCCTCATCTCGCAGTGCAACTCCTTAATCGTGGGCTTCCTCTTCGACACCCCGCCATGCAGTGCGAACACGTGCCCTGAAATGCGCGCTTCCGAATGGCAGTTTCTCTGCGCTGTGCACGAGCAGCCCAAGAGCTGCTGCGCCATCGACTACTGCTGTCACACCCTGGACTGGGCTGCCAACGTTGTGACCGACCAGAAGATCTTCCCCAGCCGCTTTGTCGTCCATAATGACAACCACAGTAAGAATGTGGGTGTCAAGAATCTCGTCAATGTGTTCCGCAGGTTGCATCGCATATTCGCCCATGCCTGGTTCCAGCACCGTGGTGTGTTTTGGTCTGTAGAGGCCGAGACAGGATTGTACGTCCTGTTTAAGACCGTATGCGACTTGTATGACCTGTTACCTGCTGAGAACTACAAGTTGCCTCCCGAGGCGGAGGGACTCGAGGCACCCCATACTGAACAGGAGCCCGAGAAACCTCCTCCCACAATTCTCAAGCCTTCAGCTCATCAACGAGGCCCTCCTGCTGAAGAAGACAACATGCATCCAACAAGAACAAATACTCGACGACACATTCGAAGTAGTCCTTCGACGGGAAGTGCTGTAACAACTGTCATTGAAGCTGAGGAGGAGGAGCCCGCTGGAGTCTCCAGGAAACTAAAGGATATGCATCTGACCGCTCCCTCACCTGTGGAGGAGGAGCCAGAAGTGGCCGATGTCCCGGTTATTGTTGAGCAATCAGTCATGGGAGAATCCGGGGCACAGTCCCACAGTCCCCCAGCTGAGAAGGCAGAGGATGACGATGATGATGATGACCACGACGACGATGAAGACGAAGAAATTGACGATGATGCTGACCAGACAGTGATCGGGTCTGTTTCAGAAGAACAAGACTCTGCAAACGATGATGACACCCAAACCGATGAACATAAGCCGGCCGCCGACTCTGTTGAGTCAGCGCAATCTACAGATACAGGCGTAGCAGAGGACGAGGCGACAAAGGAAAACGCCTCTGCAGACTCGGCACCAGATGGGGATGCCCCTGAATCCTCGGTGGCCAAGGATGTGGCCCCAGAGGATGCGACAAAGACCACAGATACCAAGTCAGAGGACGAAACCAAAAAGGATGAGAATTAATAGACGGATCGAGGCGATATCCATTTGATTTCATATCTTGCCTTTCAGGATATGGTAGCATGGCATGGCAGAGTTACCTGCCCACTGTATAATAACACAATTGACCATACAATCATCCTCAGTAGTCAACACATAACCAACCTGACGATGGTACTGGCACCGTCGAAATGCCTGGTGAAATACACAATCTTCCAATCACTCCTCCACATGCCAGCACCGTGGCTGTAAATGCGTTTTATCTACCATAACGCGCGTAATGGTTCCTTAATCTATTCTTGCGTGTGCAACCCCAAAACAAACTACAAAGCTTCCCTGACCTAGGAAAAGAAGTGCCGTAACTGGTTGCCTGCCTCGATATCTTGTACCCGCTGGAGGAACAACAATTTCGAAAATCTGCCGACAAAGGTAAGGTGGACGGCAGAAGAAATAAGGGATAATCTAAATAATAATAAGTTTGTGTTTCAATTTCTATCCACTTGGGTGGTGCGGAATAGATCCCAGCCCCTGAATACATCATCGCTTCGCACTGGATGAATCAACACTGGGCCCTGAAGCAGAGTCTGGACTAGAGCTTGACGGGGCATTTGCATCGTCCATCAATGACATCTTGGCGAAAATATGTCGAACCTCACGAACACTTTCTTGCTGGGCTGTGACAGCTGCAGCGTTCCGTTCATCCGCAAAATTGCGAATTTCCTGTAAAACTGGGCTAAACCCTTCTTCATTTGGCAGCCACCAGTTTACGCAGTCGGGTTCTCGGAATAACTCTGCCATTTTGGTACGTAGCGGAAGAGGATGAATATACCTACTCAATAATTAGTAATAATTCGATTTCTGACCTTTCAACTGGGGTATGTAGGCGAGTCTTGTTCTTACCCCATAGTCTCTAGTAAAGCAAACTTCCGGCGGAACCACATGTGATGCCTCGCATCCTGAGGGCAGAAAAGAGCTGCAATAGCAATACATGCTTGTATCAGAATCAAAACACCTCTGGGAGTTGAAGGCCAGAACTCCAAAGTTTCAAAATATTGGCATGTCCTATATGCATGGCGGTTTAGATCCGCAAACAGTTGGTCCGGTCTCATTCCTGATGATTGGCATTTGTGCATTATCATGATGCTGTTCCATTCTGCGCATAGAACTGTGACGTCGAACAGGGGGAAATCGTAAAGTATTCCAACCGTATAGGGATTGACAAAGTCGTCCGGATCGAGAGTTTCTGGGGGAGGGAAATCCTTGATAAGATATTTGGGATCCTGCAAGGCTGGGTCGCGTTTCTCCTTCCACTCTATGAGCTGTTGGTTCAAGAGTTCATGCTCTTTCACAAAATCCTCCTGGGATATCTGGCCTCTACTGCCTCGGGCGAACAAAATCGACATGTCGTAAGAAATTAGGCGAAGTCGTGCCGACCACGCATCGATTTTCCAATGTAACTCATCAGGGTTCGACGTAATCCCGGATTGATAAAAATCCAACATCGCTTGGAACCATTCGCGCGGCAGATCGGTAGGGAATCCTCCCATGAGGGCAACAAAGTTATCGAATCGGGCGTACCAGCTGAGGCACATGCGGCCAACGGGCGATTGCATCACCGTCTGGGGTGTGAATATACTCGTTATTATTTCGAAAGCTGCTTTTTGGTGTCCCATTAGATTGACCCAATCGCCAAAATATTCCTAAGCAGTACAGTCAGTATGTGAAGGTTGGACGGCGAGGAAGGGTTGACAAATACCTCGATAGTGGCAAGCTGCAGAATAGTGAGAAGAGTGGCAACGTTGGGCTTTTCTCGTCTCTTAAACAAGCCCAAGAGCTGCGTTACACTCTTATTGTAATATTGTAAGAAGTCCTGGAGCTTTCCCTGTGGGTTTCGAAGAGTAATATGGTATGCAGAGAAGCCTACGAGCGCGTTCAGCAAGGGCTCGTGGCGAGTGGCCATGTTGGGAAGAATCTTCGTAAAAAAGCCATCCGAGTCCAGGGGTATACAATAATTGAAATGGTTGAGGTTTTCCACGAAAAAGGAGAGGCCTTGTTGGTACTCCGGTGGTAGATGTGACCAGTCCGCTTCACCCGTCTGTATAGGAAAATCGGAGGAGGAATAGACAGCTGCAAGGCTACTTGGAGTTGCTGTTGCGGTCGATGGCGAGACGCTTTTTGACTGTCTGGAGAGTACCGAAGACTTTGTTTGGTCTTCATTATCTTCGTCTTCGTCCACAATCATTTCCAGTTTACTCTCTTGCTCGGTGTCCTCGTCGTCTTCTGATTTGGACGAAGTTGGACTCGTTTGTTGAGCAGAAGTTGCAGTATCTTTGGATTTACCGCTCGAGGCTGAGGAACCTTTTGATGATGGGGGGTCTGGGTAGACACATTCTCTATTTCCCTTCTTGCAACCTTGAGAATGTTAGCATTATCGTCTCCAAATCAACAAGTCCCTGCAAGACTACACGCACGTTCACATATTGGTCTGGTTTCGTCGCACTGGGAAAGTTAGACATGCTTTCTACTCGGTCCTCAGTTACATACCTTAACTCTCCTACTGCGGCACATGAAGCAGCCTGATCGTGTTCTTCGATGCTTGACATGGTCAACTGCTGCAGGGGTACCAGCCGCAGACTTTCTGCGGGCTTTCTGCGACTTGTTCTGATTGAACATCATGGGATCTGGAAACCCGGTAAAATATCCAAGTTGCTGATACGGACCGGGCAACGGCGCAGATACCATTGGTATCGGTGCTCCATGCATTCGAGGGTCAAGCATCTCCTCCGGGGACGTCGCGGGATTCATCCCTGCCCCGGACATCGAAGACAGGAAGTGATGGTAGTAGTCTCCCATTGTGATTAGTCGATTAATGCGATGTTAAGTGACTCGATGCTTCAGTGGTGTTGAAGTAGGAAAGAATCTAGTCAACAGGTCGCGATTCGCATGCTTTCCAAAAGTTTGTTTACTGGCTAGAGCTGCTTCAGTAAGGAGTAGAGATGTCGAGCAGCAAGGAGGGCAGGTCGTTTTTCGAAATACTCCGACGGAGCAGAAAGGTGCGAGTAACCAAAGGTTGGCTACTAACAACTCAGTTTCAACAATACTATGCAGAGGTCAGGGGTGTTTCGAACAGGTTTTCAACGGGCGTTTCTTCACAAACAGTGAATATTAGAACCGTTATCGCGGGTTGGCCAATAACCTAAATCCTTTTCAAGATCTGAAGGACAGCAAAAGGTGCAGTAAGGTGCTTTTGGGGGTCCAAAAGCTTCTTACAGACGTGCCCAAGAAGAACTCGAGGTGAAAGGATTAGTAGTTGTGACTCTGTTGTCACACTTTGATAAATCTCGTACACGGAGCTTGAACCAAGTTCTCGTGTCACGCGGCGGTTTGCACGATGGTTCTTTGGTCACTGACGAGGGCCGTCTGAGATAGTTGTAAGGTAATGCGAGAGGGGCCTTCAACAACAATAAGGGAATGCAGGTATCGCGGTTGGGGAACGGAGGGGCACTGCCACCTGTGACAGGGAGGAGAGATTGATCGATGCAAAATTGTCAGGGCCCTTTGCCTCAGGGAAGATGTTAGATTGGTTACTGATTCCAGATCCACGTAGGGGGCGTATATCAGGAAAACGGCAGCAGCGGGGACACGGTCGACTTCAGAGTGGATTGGTCAAGCAGTTGGCTGAGCCCCTGGAGATGAGGTTGAAGGCCAAAAACGTCCTTGTTCCCTGAAGTAGGAGCCTGTCGTATGCAAGATGCAAGCCTGACGGGGCGTCAAATCGTTGTTCAATGAGAGAGCTTGGGCTCGTGGGTCCCGGGAACCGGCCAAGAGCTTTAAGCTTGGTGCCCTTTGACTGCCCGACGAGGGGACCGATCCCACGCCCACAGACAAGCAGGTCATCAAACCACGGGTAGATGGCCCGGGCTGGAATGTGACTCTGGCACTGGGAATAAGACACAAAGAGCTGACTTTGAGCAGAGGTGGCAGTATCAGAAGCTCACGGAGAAGAATAAGGGTTCCGTCAAGAAAAGCTTTTCGAGCACAAACAAACGTGGATAGACATGTGGAGGAGTGAGTGTAAGACGAGCAGGGTACTGTACGGAGAACTGGTTCAAGTGGATGTGTGCGTCCCGGTATCCGTACGGTATTGAGTTTCCACAAATTCGAAAGATTTCGGTAGAGCTGGGTCAGCTAATAATAGAGGCAGTTGAAGTTCTCTTAACATATATGACTTATTGGTGGGAGAGAGACAAGGCTCTGAGAGCGCTTGTAAAGGCTGGGGCAGATTTCCAATCCACAGCTAAGGTAACTAGTACGCGTCGAGTAAAGGCGACAATTGTGATATGAGGTTTGGAGCTGACGATGACATATAGCCCTTGAACGGCGCGTTTAATAGGGTTAGTCAGGACGGTGATCGAGAGACAGGGGTGAATAACAAAGATTGGGTCAACGAGATGGATGATGTTATTGCCAAATGGAGCGCGGGGTGGGCTGAGCTTGAGTTTTGGGGGGGGAGATGCTGGATGGGTTGGGATGGATGGATGGGATTAGTTTAGTTACCTTAGTTGTTAGGAGGGATGGAGTGAAAGGGGACGGGAGGGAAGGAACACGCCCCAGTTCCATCGATGACAGGCGTGCCTGCCTACACCTCATCCATCAGTTGGGCTCATGCCTGCCAATCCGATCCAATCTTACCTTCCTAAGCATATAGGTATGGGTATTCTTTCTTTTCTCTTTCCATTCACTTGGCCTCAGGTACCTACCTACATCAACAAACTCTTCTCCCATTTGGTCATTTTCGTTTCTACCCCCGAAATCTTGTATTTCATAGATAATTGACTGACAAGGATTTGAATACCCCCGAACCAGCTCCGCTTTGTTTGACATGGAATGGTTGGAATGCGCCCGATCTCCTGGGTCTTGTTTCTTCTCTGTACCTACGTACCTCTACGAAATGCCGTTAAAGCTTTACCACACTGGGACAGTGCCGAAGCCGCAGACGGACATTTGCAGCTGATGGGTCGGCCTTAATTCTTTGCAGTCGGAACCGCTCCCCTGGCTTTGATGAGCTACCATGTTCCAGTTAAAAAAAGTCTGTGATGGGTGGAAAGGGTTGGATGTATTCATTCATCATGCAGGTATGTACTCCGTATTTGTCCATCCATCTGACCTTGACCTAATGCAGCTAAAGAATGCGAAATAGCCTTGTCCTAATTTTCGCCTTCCTTCTGACCCCTACTCAAACTCGAAAAAGTTGCTCAGCAAGACGTTCAAGTCCAGATATACGACTATCTTCTTACATACAAAACGATATCGCTCTGTCGATCGTTCCAGCTCGGTTTTTTACTGGCCAAACATAATGGTCTCAGTCTCAGTCAGCCACGTGAGTGGACAGCCTGGCACAATCAGCGAAATGAGGCTGACATAACTTGCAAACAAATCAGTACGAACCTCTATAATCCTGAAACATAAGGAGATACGCCGACCAAAATGATGGCACAGAATCCTTGGGGGGCATTCAAGGCTGTGTCTGTGCTTTTGACGTTGTTCTTGTCGGGAGGCACTTCAGGGATCACCCATGGACAAGGTCAATCATCAACGGTGATGCAACCTCCCAGGACTGTCAGGATGGAAGTAAAGTCATTGGTTTGGACCAAAGAATTCCCCAAGGATATGCCTCAGTATTATCTGCAAGAGCATATGTCGCAGTTTATACTCGTGCATCACGACTTACCTCTGTCATTCGGATACTCGATGACATTATTATCTTGTTCACCATTTCTTACGCACAGAAAAGCAGCCTTGAGGTGTTTCCTCATCCTTACAGACCTGTACCTGTCATTGGCAGGCTTGGCATTAAAAATGCGGCCATAGTCCCTGGTTCCACATGGCGATCTGATAGGGCACCATCAACAAGGGTGCAACTGTGGGAGAGGGCACTCATGTCCCAATGAAACCCTTGACAAAGGCGCCGCGGAGCAACAACCACCGGATCCGTCCCAGCCACTGGCAACAAATGAAACGCTTAATGATGTCTTGACGCTTGGATCAAGTCCCGCTCCCGGCAGCTTGTGTGGGTAGTCGCGTGGCCGAACCCAGCAATGAACGCCTCTGTGGGTCATGGCTGTGAGGAGTTGACTCTGGCTCAACAGTTTATTTTCTCTTGTCATCGACATCATGACGATGTATGGTGGACGTTGAACATTCGTCCTGGAGACTCAAGCTGCGGGCGAGCTTGTGGCAAATCTCAGACATCCACGTCGTTGATTCCCTGTTTTCAGCTCTGCATCCTGCATCAAACCAGATCATACCATCAGAGTCTTTGGATCAGTTGAGGATGGTTTCCATACTACTGCTATAGCACAACCACAGATGAGCCTCCGATGCTTCTACTAGAGGCCTGATCGAGTACTGATCGTCCTGAAACGATCTACTATTATACAAGCCTATGTTTTTAACATAGGACCTCCGACTACTCCGCCAAACCAGTTTCGAGACCAAACCAGCCCTGAAATGATCCAACAGTTGACCATACCCAGTTGGTTCAACGCTGCATATTTTGGTACCCTGAGTGCATGAAGCTTGCAGACGTGGTGCTTAGTGATACCATGCAAGCTAGCCAGGACTAACTCTGCAAGCTCCATCTTGCACATGCAGGTTATGTACATTATGCAGTACTATAACGCTGCATAGTCCTGTGCGATGATATTGGTGTTGCTCCTAAAGCCTCAGCGCCTTGATTATCGTAGCCGGCACCGACATTCGTCGGTGTTAACAAGCACTGCCGTTAAGGCCCATGTGTATCTGAGCACAGACGAAACTATCCTCTTATAACGAGATGGTGAGTGGTAAGAGGAGGAGCCCTGGTTACGATAGACCAGGAGCTTCCCGCCAAGCTAGCTTAGTTATTTTCTGGAACGTGCCAAAGCCACGAGCCAATAATCCGAGTGATCGGGTCGAGCAGACTAACCTACTTGAAATTACATATACCGAATACTTATATTCTTTAGGTTCCCTTTACTATTCAAAAGCACAAATACCTCGATTCATGAAAAGGCCGGCATAATCCTAGACAATTTGTGCCAGAGTATGTACAGTAGAGAGGAAACACGCTGCCAGTTTGGAGGATTACGGTGTTGGCCCTGGTCTAGCCAAAACGCGACAACCAACAACCGGCCCACAAAGAATACAGCCCATTTCACTCAGCTCCCACCACTTATGCTCAAATTGTCTTGGGTCATGTCACCGAAATTCCGCAGTACATTGATCCGCTTTGGCCGAGTTGCCAAGCATCAAAGAACATACTGTCTGATCCATCTCCTCTAGCAAAGACTACCCGTTGGTTCGACGGGTACATCTATGTATCATAGGTGTTGGAAACAGGATGCAGATCGAAAGGTGTTCAGGCCTGAAGGAGCATATGCTGGCGCTCTTGGTCAGCGCGCGCTTCGGAAGATTTATATCCTTGTTCATGATTCCTCCACTTCTCTCCAAACGTTCTCTTTCATCCTTCCTCGACAAGGCGTGGACTAAATCTGCAGTGTGCTTGGATCTGATACGATCATATAGTCCGTCGGGGTAACTCTGGCTAGGGGTATTAGTGCTTTTCAAGAGCATTACTGCAACCGTGATCTGATAGATCGAAACCGACACTATCACGGCCAGCGTCTGTAGTTGCTGAAGTGGGTGTAGAACTCGACACTACAGATTACAATCAATTGATCCCTCGTATCCATAAACGCGTCAGGATTGGACTCAAACCAAAACCAACCGGCACTCCTTGGCGGTCTCCATATCTAGGGAGTAAGGGCTCTCTCACAGTTGGTAGGATATTGATAGGGTGGGAGAGTTTCTAT